AGGCGGCATCTCGGCAAAGCCTAGCCCGAGGTGCCTCCTGGGGTCGGCCTTTCTGCCGGTCAGACAACTTCCTCGGATGTCCGCGCCTACTCGGGCGCCGGTCACTCGGCCTATTCGGCTTCGGCCATCCTCGGATCGAGCATCCTGGTCCGACCGAGCACTGCCATGCCGAGCAGTTTCTGTCCGGTCCGGGGTGGCACACACAGCCCGAACTCTGCCCGGCCCAAGTTCTGGCAGCCCTTCTCTGGGCGAACAGTCGATCATCTCGGCCCAATGCACTGCTGGGCTTTCAACCTGCTCGGTCGATATCTCGGCCCAACTCCAGATCATAAATCACCCTCTCATATAGTATTTATTTATCCTCCATTATGGGTTATTTTTGAACTATTGACTTTTTAACTGTTATCGGATTTTAATTGTCCAGTTTGATGTAATATTTCTTATATGGAAAATTAATCTCCTACTTGTCAAAAAAAAAAAAAAAAAACACTTAGCCTAACTAATCTCTAATTTTTATTGTTGTTGGGAGGAATATAAGATATTTCTTCAATTTGAAAGAGAGATCACATGGAAACATGAAAAATAAAAAATAAATTTAAAGAAAGAACCCACTCTCCACAAGATTGTGTGGCATTATTTGCGCTAACGAATCCAATAACAACTTTAGAAAAATGTTTTCTCTTCACAAACCTTGTGATTTACCATTTGACTTTGTTGATCTACTAAATCCTCCATTAATTCTCAATAAATAATTAAAAAAATACCAAATAATAATGTATTTAGTATGGTTTCAAAATGGGTCAGTTTGTTTACATGTTACAAACAAATCTTTTTTGGGGTAGTCAATGATACAATCATGTAACCATATTATTGTGAAGAGGGATGTTTGTGTGAAGTGCATTGGCTCATCATATTAAATTTTTATTTTATCGAACTCCATGTTTTGATAACATCCTTTGAGGACAAAAAACAAGTGGTTTAACCTTGGAAATGGTTTACATACATGCATTTGTATTTGGTGGATTAATTTCCTTTTTTTACTCTTTGGGGAAGGTTAATATGTTTGGATTAAAGAGGTGAAAAGTGAAAGAGAGGGGATAAAAAAAAAAAAAACTTTTTCTGCATTTGTTTAACATGAGAGTCATGGAAAGTAAAGAATAAAAAAATAAAAATAAAAATTAATTAATTTCATCTACAACCCATTTCAACACAAAGTAACTTTCAATTTTTCACAAAAAAATACTGATTCTTTTCTCGTGAAAGTAATTAGTTATTCATTTCTCATTTTTCTTACAAAATTCTCACAAAAAAATTCTTTCACTTCACTTTCTATAAATTTCACTTTTCAATATATTTTTCACTCTAATAAAATAGATTCAAAGTTTTGTTCAAAATTGTAGAATATCTAAACATGATTAGTGAGACATAAGAACAAAAAAGAACAGTAAATACGAATTGTAAATTACATGTATACACAAGAATACTAGATATATGTGATTCACTTTAAAATTAGGATTACATCCATAATTAATGTGGTTTCTCTATAGCCATCCACCAAGTATGTATAATATATATATATATAATTGAGGCAATGTGCTACAAATACAAAAATAAAAAATACATTTACTCTGCAATCGAGTGGCTAGTATTTTACTTAGATCACACTTCCCAATAAGTTTTACTTACATTTTCTTAATGTGTGTTCTGTAAAGTTTCTAAGCTAATTCTCAATACAATTGAAATTTTTTTAAAAAATATATTGAAACCATATTTTCAGTCAACAATTGGCCATGAACTACCTCGATCAATTGCATGTGTGCTAACCAAAAATCAAATCAAATACAAACGGTTTGAAAGAATTTCCACTGCAAGAGATGGAACAAAGAATCTAACCACTGAGAGAAACAAGAAAGTGATGATTATTAGGAAGTTGAAATCATTGAACATGACTCAAAATTCATTCCCACATTTATATTTGAATTTAAGTATACACTTCTTCCAATAACAAGATTCAATTAATGAAGTCGGTGGCCAATGTTTGAATGAATGAATGCAGACCATTTCTATTATTCATCCAAATACCATGGTAGGGAATTGCACCTGACATGGCCAAAGGAAGGGGACAGAGAGAGAAGAGAGCATGTGTTGACTCATGTACAAATTTACCAACTTTGAGTACATTTCACATTGTTTAAACTTGAAAGTGCATGGCAATAAATATATATAATAAATAATTAGGTCAGAGTAAATATATTGCATTTTGAAATTTACCTTAATTAACCTATTAGTTGTCTTGAATCAATGTATTGCATTTGAATTACTTAGGTTGTGAGATCTCTACCTAAATTTAATTCGGATTTGACAATTTTAACTTATAAACCCTAATTAAATTTGAAATTATAAGTCTTAAAGTTTTGAAAAAGTTGTTCAGTTCGGGCCGCCTAAATTACACCTCTATATCCAGATTTGAGTCTCATTGTTACACAATATAGCTATTATTTTCTTTATTTCCCATCTACTGATTATAAAAAAATTAAAATAAATAAAAGCTAAGTGTAGCTCAAACTCAGTCCTCAAATGTCATTAATGGTACAATTTAGATTCTATACCCATGTGTGCCAATGTATATATATCAATTATCAAACATGAATGTACTATCTTTGATATATTGTAAAATGCAACTAACTTAATAACTGAAATAACTGAAATTATATACTAATGGAATACAAAATGATGGGTCAATGTTTTAGCAAATGAGAGAGAAGTGGGTTTGACAAACATGTGGTCACATGACATTGGAAGAGTTTGTTGAGACTGTTGCTGAAGAATGGCCATTGACCAGCCTCCCTATTATCAGAAATCCCAAGTAGGACCTGGGGATCACAGCAGTAATTTCCTGCGAGTTTGTGAAGACTTTTTCTGAGTCTTTTTCAATGATTTAAACCGTTCATATTGTAAGGTTTGTTAAATAGATTATCCATACAAAAAATTAAGTTAATCAAAAATTCGTAATCCTATGATCAGATTTAAATTGTTTTACAAAAATTTTCAAGATAATGTCAACCGTTTATTTTTTTGAAAACAAATGTGCTTGTTATAAAGCTATAGATTTCCAATCAATTTGATTTTTTGCATAGATGATCTATGCAACAAACCCTACAATATGAACGGTTCAGATTATCATAAAAAATTCGGAAAAAGCTTCCACGGGCTCACAGCAGCATACCCAGATCCCATTTTACTTGCTCTGCAGTTGCGGCATGTGCAGCGCCTTTAAATGATATATTCTTGTCAATTTAATTTTATTGGATAAATTATGCACGGGATTCTGTGTCTCCAAATTTTATTGTTCTCTTTTTTAGTACACTTCTAACCATTGAATCATACTTCAGTTTTTGAGATTTTATGTTTCTTGAGATTCTTACATAATCTAATCAGATAAATATGTATTGAGACAGAAAAACAAATAAAGAAAAAATCTCTTGGTGGAGGCCAAGAAAAGGCATTTGGTAGTTCTGAAATGGTGTCCTGTGGTGTAGTTTTTCAAAATGGTAATCACATTTTGACAATGGTACTTTGATAAGAAATTGATATGCAATTATAATGATTTGGACAGTTAAAGGAGATTGCAGATATCAAAGTTCTTTAACAGAAAAATTAATCTTTTTGATAGGCTAATGAACAAACAATGAATTTTTTTTGGACATATTTATCCATTTTCAGCTGCAGTATGATATGGTTCAGCATTCATTGCCATTAGTCCTGCCTAACTAACCAACATCCTACAGGATTTCTTTTTAAACTTGTCAATTTTGTTCAAGAATAAGAACATAACCATCCTACTACTATTGTTTTTCCATGAAAAGTAACCATCATCCTATAAATTCCAAGTGATTTTGTTTTCTATTTTATTTGTACAGGCTAGTAGCACAGAGAATTTTATTACCAAAGCATTTTTACTATTCAAACTATATATTTACCTTTGTACAATTACTAAGAAAGATTTTACTAGCAAAGCTATTTCATACGTTCATTAATTGAGTAATATTTTTCGAAAAAAAAAACTACATAAAATCATATGGCTGATGTTGGTCTTGTTACTTTAAAACATAAAGTCATCAACAAGACAGAATTTCAAAAATGTCAATGCACATCATTTTGGTGAAAAACTCCGTATAAAATTTCTGTAAAAGTAAAATTTTACTTAGTTATCCAAGATGGCTAGGTCTTAGAAATAGTCAAGTCAATATATTGTGTTGAGGATCAAAAAAACAAAAATAATAACAGTAACAATGATTGTGTTGGGGATGATCAGCTATTTAGGATTATGGGCTGTTTGGGAAGAAGGTTTTTTGGTTTTTTTTTTTTTGTTGTTTTTTACTAAAAGACAAATTGATTGCAAAACCAAAAAAAACAAATACAAACAAAATATCACATCAAACCCCATAATCATTTCACTTTTTCTTTCACAAACATCACATCCAACCACAAAAAAACCCAACTATCTTCCCAAACACAAAAAATTTCTTCTCCAATAATATCCTACAACTAAAAAAACCTACAAAAAAACCCACTTCCCAAACACCCACTATATTATAAGTTGGCCCCAATACAGAGCAGCTACAAGACAACAATAACAGAAACAAGAACAAAAAAAGTATAGAACAGATCATGACAATCGTGTAAGTTCATGCAATTATGAACGTTAATTTTACAATCACAAACTGTACATAATTTTGCAATTCGAAAAATTAATGGGACTGAAACATTTTTTAGCCTATGAAAGCTGTATTGAAGCATATGTAGTGAGAACCTCAGGCGGTGGGACATTAAATTTGAGGAAATGGAACTCTTTAGGAACTATTGTCTATTGTGGTCATATCACAAGTTTACAAAAAAAAGAATATTTTCAGTATTTATAGAAGAAAAATAAAATTTAACCTTGGCTGTGCTGTCATAGTCATAGGCTACCTTCTTCATTTTGTTGGTGCCCTTGCGACAATTTGATAATTTGATCTCACATACTGAAAAAGGAAAAAGACATTCCAAAGGTACACAATTAGATGACGCATTTGTCTACTTATGTGGCATACAAAAATTATGTACAGCGAGTACCTCAAGCAGTGAAATGTAATAAAAATCCTCCATATGCTGCATAAGGCCACTCCCATCTCGGATTGAAAGAAAAATGTTTATCTCTGTATTTAATATTTTTTCGATGAGTTCTTTCTCACCTTTCATCTGTAAAGCATGTCCACCAAAAACAAGTTCAGCAATTAGAATAGTGACATTTATACGTGCATAATTAGAAAAAAGAATGTCATTAGAGCGGAAGAAAAACACGCGACTGATAGAGTGGATCTTGACCAAGCGACATGGAGAAAATGTTTGGATATCACTTTTGAAGGTACAACAGTACAAAATGTTGTTAGCTTTGGCTGGTGGACATCAAAGGCACAGTGTCTCTTCAAGGAAACAAATATCATTGCAATATGATGCTGCACCAACAATCACTGATATGAACCTGGTAAGCTTATTTAAAGAAACATCAGACAACTATGGCCAAATTTTTAGTCCCAAAAATTTACCAAAAGGATGTATTTCATTTTGCATTTGTATATTTTCCATTTTATTCCTTTTTTTAGGTACACATTTTTAGTTCTTTTTTTATTTTATTTTTTTATTTTTGGTACACATTTTAGTTCTTTTATGCTGAACTCATTCACAATGCCTTTCAGTAATCAATCAAATTATATTCATGCATTAGTTAAGCTGAATTCCACCTTTTCTATTTTACTATGAGGCACATATAGATATTGTATATATCGCTAGAGCATAGTTGTCAAATCGAGATTCGTATCGTGAATCGAAATGATCTCGTGCTGAATCGCGTATCATGAATCATAAAGATTCGGTCATTTTTTCTAAATTACTTAAAAATATATATCTACACATTTAGATGTTAAATATATCTTATGAATATAAAATATTTAGACTTAAATCTATGAAAATGTTATTTTAAATGATAATCACGTAGTTTAATAGGTAAGAAGTTAACAAAGATTCCTATGTAAGATCAGCATCTTACGTTTTTTTCTTTTTTAGATATTGCTTCTCAACCATTTTTAATAAAGATAATAACCAAATAGACAAATTATCAATTTCTAAAGTAACAATAATTAACAACGATATTGATATTTGGACAATAAGTATACATACTTTTCTAAGTAACAATGAGCAAATAATAAGACAGAATTATTTGGAATCTTTTATTTTAAACCTAAAACATTTTAAAAGGTATAACTGATCTCACACATGTTATATTCAATTTAATAAAGTAGCAATAAATAATTCATAGTGTAACTTTAATTTTAAACATATTTAGAAGATATATTATGATTTTTTAAAGGAAAAAAAAAATGAGAAGAAATGTTAAAAATATGTTGGGTCTGACTGAATCTGATTGAATTGTATTAAAAACTCCATAATTACTAAAATAACAACAAATCATGTACATACATTAGTTTTTTGGGTATTAAATGCTCCTAGAAGTTGTATTATGTAATTTTCACCAAAAAGATGGACAAAAAAAGAATCGAAAATATGTCGAACACAATAATTTTAAAAATTGCATGAATTGAAAAAAGTGAATCGAATCGTGAATCGATTATCGATTGTGAATCATGCAATTCACTAGAGATTCACTTCCAAAATAGATTCACCCATAGAGTCGTATCAATTTTACAAAAATTGCGAATCGAATCGTGAATCGAATCACAAATCGTAAGATTCTGATAACAGAGCGCTAGAGATATAAATAAAAAATTTTAAAAATAAAAAAGAGAGTAAAGGATAAGGAACATACAAATTCACTGACAAGAACATCAGGTGTAGACTCCCCAAGAACATCACCTTGGTAGCCATCTCCCAAAAGCTCCATATTTTCCTGAAATAGTTTGTATTCAGCACATAAGAAGCTCTGTCCCTCCATCCAAATTTGAACCAAATATACGCAATCGTCTAACAATCAACTAATCAAACACAATTTGCTCTCTTTATGATAGGATATTGGATTCAACTGTTTGGACCAACAAATAATTTTTTTAAAAAGTAATAATTCATTAGATGGTCTCTAAACCCTATGAGCCTCCTATTAGATCGGACACTGTATCCGTAACAAACTCTGAACCCTTCCACTTACTGTGCATGTTCAATAGAAGTTTAATATGGAGTGGCATGCATTATGAATTTCCTTCAATCTATATCATAGGAAAGAAAGGAGACGAAAAGGAAATAAATAAAGATATGAATTCCATAACCAACAACCCACCATGGCAATTTTTAAATCTCCAGTAGCTAGATAAACAGGTTGAGCTACATGACAATAACCCATCAAGCGTGGAACCGTAGGTATAATGTCTCTATGATTTACAACTCTCCAGCTATCTTTGACTTTCTGCAATGTAAGCAGCAAGGATTACGTAAAACTACAAGATGGCTAGAAATTATAAAAGAATTTATATAATAATCAGATACTAATATTTAATGATACATTGTTCAAATATTTTTTCTTGTGAAAGAGGAACTAATAAGTTGAGCATTCTCAAGGAGGCTTCAGCAACATTAGTTTTCTGTTATGAAATGCCTTCAATAGAAAGAAAATGAACCATAGGGAAGAAAGGGAGGATCCTTGCCTAATACTTCATCAAGTTTTAAGCGTCTAGTTGATACATATAAACGATAATAAGCAGTTAGTTGACATCTTAAAAACCATAATTAGAAAATAAATACCTCGTTGTAAACTTCTGCAAATTTTTTGTTTCCCACTCTGGGAGATCCGAAGTTATACATGGTCACAGAAACTGCCCCACGCCTAAAACACACAAAGAAGTTTAAAAATAAGTTAATATATGAACTTTTTATACCAGTCCTAAAAGTAAAAGAAGTATAAAACATATATTCTTCTTTGTTTTATGGGTCGCACACTGTAGTTCTCAAAAATTTCTAAAAATATAATGAGTGCCATTACATGAAAAAGGTTTATTTAGGTAAGTTATGTTAACAAATGTAGAAAGAACTCACTTGGCTAATTGGCTTGATGAAAGTTCAAGGGCTAGGAGGGTTGCTAATGCACCACCTAAACTATGACCCGTGATGTAAATATGCCATTTGTGTTGTGGCTCGGCGCCATTATCTCTGCATAAAACACATCCAGCTTTTGCTTGGTAAAGGATATATTTCACATTTGACAGCTTGAAAAGATATATGATGAATTCTGTACCATATATAGATGAAATTAATTATTTCCATAATTAAATTGCACTAAAATAGTATTTAAATATCATAGAGCAAAATAGTCAAGCAATGGTTATCACACAACGTTTACTGCCCATGCAAAGGGTTCTCTAAGATAGAAACAACCGATGAGAGGCTATCTATTTAAGTCAAGAACAAAATCAAGTGTTCAACGCAGCCTAAAAGATATCTTTAGGTCTTAGCTGTAACAAGAAGAAAACTCAGACAAATATAGAAACCATGGCATGAAATTACATAAGTTTTATTGTATCCTCTACACTCACAAGTCTCCAAATCATCATCCTTCAATTAACCAATTAAAACTACGTAGTGTAAGAGTGCACGACATTACCTGGAAAATACTACTTGATGATTCACCTTAATCTCATTTCAATTAATCACATGAGCAGAATAGCTGTGGTGGTAGAAGATTTTTTTTCTTTTTCTTTTTTGTTTCTTTACAGAAAACAACCAAATGTGTGTTGTGGTAAAATAAAGATTAATTTGAAAGAAACTGTTTCAAAAATTTTGTCAACAAAGGTGTGTTGGGCCTCAAAGAAGCTATAAGAGATGGTTGCATGAAACTAGCATACCTAAAAATGGCCCTTATGTCAAGTTCAATCATTTCACTTCAAGCATAGTATTAAATCATCAAGATGTAATCATTAGACTGCACGATGTGAACCACTAAAGCAATGTATCATTGCCAAAGGTTAAGAAAGATGCTCTACTTATTTCAACATTCAACATCAATTCATTGGCCTTAGAGTCAGGCAAAGTTAAATAGATTCTTACAGTAGCACAACTTACATGTACTCCACTGCCTGTTTAATGAGAGAGAGGATCCTTGTCCTGACTGAATCATACGCACTTAAAAAGCCACTATGAACCTGAATAATTATATTTTCAGTCAATAAATCACAAAATAAACCCACAGATCCCATTAGTATTATCAAAATTAAATTTTGGATCCACAAAATGTTGGACATACTTGAACTTCTTGCCTGAAATTGCCACCTATCCTCTCAGGATTCAGCCTGTAAAAATAGAAGAAAAGTCATAGCAAGGAAACGCAGTACGTAACTCATAAAGTCCTATCTCCAAAAGGGTGACCCAGTGCACAAGGCTCATGTTAAAGAGGGGGTCAGGGGAGGGCCAGATGTATGGAGCCTTGCCCCATTTCTGGAGTGGTTATTTTTTGTGACTCAGACCCGCGCCACTAGGACGCTAACAAGCCTTCATTGGGCAAACCGCCCTTTCATAAAGTCCTCTCTCAAAATTATGAAATTTTGCACCAAAAGGAATTGACTAGTGATAAAAAGAGAATGATAATGCATATTAGAGACTTATATTTATCAAAAAATTAATGCATATTAAAGACTTCAATTGTTCCTGGTTAGGTAGCAAATTATAATGAAAACCCTTCATCCAATATAGCATGAACACGAAATACATTTCTAATACATTGCAGACAAAAAATAATCACAATATAAGGCATTCGACAAAGAATAATCACAATATATAAAGCACTGCCGCATTTAACAAACTACGGGGTTACAGGAGAACTATATTTTTTGCTCATGAAGATATTGTGAAGTAAGTCTTTCTTTATCACTTGAGGTTGAAGCTAGTTTTCCAAGTGATTAAGCTCTTTTGCTCATAACATAATAAAGTGTCATAACATAAGTATGTTGCTGTAAGCAACAAGTAATCCAAATTATAAGTAGTAATTTTCCTGTTGCAATCCTTAACGGGAACAAAAAAAATAAAAAAATAAAAAATAAATAAAGAAAGAAAGAAAGCAAATACTATCTGAAGATAGAACTAAGATATTACCCTGAAGGAGCTAGCATTAAATCAGTTTGCAAATCCTTCCATCTAGTCTGAAAAAAACCAATAAGTCAATAATCAAAGCTAAGAGTTTACTCAACTCACTCATTAATGAGGAATATAAAATAACCTACTTGTTCTGTGCCCCTAAAAGCAACAACCAATCTTTTCCGCACTGAATCACGCCAAATTGCCACCTGCAGCCTTCGATATCTCAGTATAGAATACATAAAAATATGATTTTATTGATAAAACAATGATGTTTAATTAAATTAAAATGTCAAATTTAAGATGCCATTTGTACATTCATTTTGGAATGATAGAAAAAGGTTGGCTCCTAGCTCGTGAGAAATAACCTTACCTGTGTATCAGTGGATGGGTTATCTAAGAAACATATTTTCTCAAATTCTGATTTTATGAAACTTGAATGGCCCAAAGAAGTAGCAAGCATTGACCAAGCCTCCATGGCACTCTCTGCAGTTGAAAAGAGTTCCCTCATCTCCTCAGCTTTCCTTTCATCCAATTCCGATCCATCTGAGGGGCTTAAAGATTGAGAGACATCATCTACCATTTCGGTGGAGGCATCTTCTGCTCTTTCGCCCTTTCCAAAGAGACGTCCTTCTTTGTTTAATTGTGAAACTGTAGCATTTAGAACCATTAGTGCTCCCAGAATGGAATCGGTTTGCCGTAATAAATCTTGGGTAACCTTCTTAATATCTGTCACCGAATACTGAATATTGCCAAGAGTCAATGTTTCAGTTGTTGTTCCATCATTGTTAGCAGCTTCCTGACCTTCAGGAGTAGCAAGCCCATCTTCAATATAACCTGCTTCCGCAATCTTTTGTGACTGTAAGCCAATTCTGTTTAACAAGTCCAATCCATCCCACTTTATTTTCTCAGGAGGAGAGAGACCAAGTTTCTGAACAACATTTTGATTGATAAGATCAGAGAAATTCTTCCAAAAATGTTTATCTGACTGTGAGGCATCATCAACTTGTGTCACTGACGAAGACGTTTGTCCATTCCCTGTATCACCATTATCCATGGTAGACTCCAGTAGATTGATGTCTTCCTCGTAGTTTGGTTCATTTGTAGAGCACTCTGGATTGGACTCCTCCTGTGGTGGCATATCTGACTCAACAACAGGATTGCTAGAATCCTCAATGTCTTCAGTGTCAGACCTACCAAGTTTTAAAACCCAATCCTTCTGCAGGTAAGCATTATTTAGCGACTTTATCTGTCCAAAGGCATATTGCACAAACTGGCGTGCTTGCACGGTCTCTGAGCCAGCAATCATTTTCAAAGCAGACTCAAAACCATTTCTCCGAAGAAATTCTGTAACAATGGGGATCCTCCACCACTTACTCTCAGCATCAATTTCATCAAAACTCTTATACTTAACCTGAGACAATGTCATTAGGAAGAATAAGTTACTATGTTATGAAGAATGGTCCATTTCAGAAATTTTATTCTTCCAATACCTGAAACAATGCAGTGAATCAATCAAAGTAAGAAACATAAAAAAATCATCACCAACCCAAAAAGTTGTTGCCGTTGCAACAAGAATTTATGTCACAAAGAAGTCTTTGAAACATACAGAGAACTATTTTCCTTACTCATGAAAAGATTCACCAATTGTAGTAATCCCTCTGCAAATATGAACTTACTGTAATTTCTCCTTTTTCCCCCTTCCCATCCAACAATATGTGAAACTGTCAAGATTCTGAACTCCAAATAATAATTTGAAATAGTAAGGTAAGAAGAAGGAAGGAGAAGAGAGAAAAGGGGATCAAATAGACACTGTTGTTCGTGAACTGAGTGACAGCAAATGTTGAGGTAATCAGCAAAGTCACAGAGAATGGTGAACTGACTTTATTGATGCCTTTTACAATATTATACAAGCTCATAGCCCCTTTAGAAGAAGTCAGCTTGTCAAGAAAGCACTTCAGCCAAAGAAGTTCAACGAAACACCTTGAACCATAATCAAAAATCAACTTCTGCAGTAATCCCTACAGTTGGTTATTCGTTAGATATGTATGTCAGAGGTTTTTTTCGGTGGTTTCAACCACAAAAATGCCATACTCTTCCCAGACCCCGCAAAGGTGGAAGCCTCATCTAGGACTACCTATGTATGTCAGACGGTGCCCACTACCAGAGTACAAACCCTACATTGGAACTGCAATCAATCATGGAATCAAAACGGTTTGCATCAGTGAGAGTACATCAACTCATATGGCCAGTCAAATAATAAACAAAAATGGTCTTTCAATAGATTTCCAAATACCTAACTCTATGTTTCCAAGCTCAGAAGAGTGTAAAGATGTGGGCTTCTGGTTATTAAGAAGTATGTAGAACTCCAGGAAATGCAGGAATTCATCATCAAGTTACACAATATAAACAATATAAAAGGAACTGAAGCACACTTTTTGCCCCTGGAATTTCTTATTTCTGGTGCTTTATCAAGAAAACATACCTCTAGCTGTATCTTTCCACCACCTCCCATTCCTTCCAATTCAACCAGCACTTCATGCAAATCTCCTAGCAAAACAGGTTTGATATTTGATCATTGTAAGACAAAATTTGAATTCACTGCATTCAAAATCTTCATTGTGTTAGCAGGCATATTAGTTGGGGGAAATTGCAAACCCGTGAGAAGAAGAGGCAGTAATTGTAAAAACATGGAGCTTCAAGGGGGTCTGTGCTCTGGTAAAAGTGAAAACAATGATCTTAAGTCGCACCTCCGTGATTGTCCAATTGCTTTCACTTCTTTCCACTGATTTGCTATTCTCCCTATTAGTTATTACTATGTCTGGAAACCTTTTGTACCACAAATGTCTATTCAATTTCTATTAGCAACAGGCCGAAACGAAAATTTGATCCTTGGTCAAAACATCTTCCTCCATCAGGAGAGAAAAACAGAACCATTGTAATTGATTGGGATAACATAAATCCATCCCACTAAATCACTAATAAGGATGACATATGATTCACTGGAAGCTCACCATCACAGAGGTATTCCAAACTAATGCTACCATTCCCCATACGTTTATGTGGAGTAACGAGATTTGCATCCCAAGCTGCAACCTGAAGGTTAATATCAACTATTATGGATTAAGTGTAAAGTTGAGTAGCAACTACACGAGTAGCATTACAACAACAAATATGATTATCTTCTTCCACTACAGAACATATGTTCTTGAAATTATGACCTGAAGATTTTTTGTTGCGGGTAGCTTGATATTTAAAGTGAACTCCTCGTTCCAGGTTGGTTCCTTTTTCCTGCACCACCATTCAATTTTCCATAAGAACTATCAAATTTTTAAGTTTCTAAGATTAGTGAGACGATCACACCATATAGGAAAAAACTAAATTAGCAATTGGATACATGAATTAAAAGCTATGACCAACTATACCCATAATTTTTTTTTGCATTCACTAATTTTAATATTCTCATGTGTATGTCACATCAAACATCACAAGACAACTAGATGTGAAGGTTGGCATTGGCAACACTAAATATTACTTGCCAAATTTTCTGGTTGTAAAGGTGATTGTGAACCTCTAGGAAGAAGAAGGGCACTTCCGTGGCTAAGAGTTTCCGGAAGCAAAGAAGAGAACCAACTTGGCTCGACTAAACAGAGTATCAGGGAAACTGCAGGGTTAGACATGATACTTCAGAGGGTGTATCATGGCATGATGTAAGTGCAAGGTATGATACCTCTCTTGAAGTATTAGGAGTTGGGTCAATGTCTCTCCCTCCAAGACCAGTCAAAGAGGGGCTGCTCCCAGGGAGCAAGTAAGGCAACCCTAACGAGCCCTTGGTCCTAGCCTAACCACAATCCTCCAGCAATCCCAAGTAGTGGGTACATGCTCCTAGCCTAAAATGCCAAAGTGGTGGTAATAGAGATGAAAGAGGTGTGTTGAGTGGGATTGGCCAAGCTAAGAGCCAAACCATGATGATATCGAGTGGGATTGGCTAAGCAGTAATCCCAACCACTCCTCAAATGTCATATGGAAATGAAGCATGGGTGGGCTATGACCTGGTGACAGCTCATCCTAGTTGAGCTGGAGGGTGCCAAGCCATGACACTGTCAAGTGGGCATGGCTAGGCAGGGGTGGCTCGGCTTGGCTGAGTAAGTCCCCTTGGTGCTTCGACCTGCAGCTAAGATGCAAAGCACATTAGTGGGCCAAGATACCATATTTGGTGGTTGATGTACCTCTACTATACATAACCCCCATGAATTGCTGCGGCAACATGGAGCGTGAACACCCTCTCATGAGAGATGATGCAGTGCCTATGGAGCCCTCCATGCAGCAGAGGTGATCCATATACCCACACTGGTCTTCCTTCAACACACTAACATGTGAAGTTTTTTTTTGGGGGGGTAAGATAACATGTGAAGGTTGCTACTGCTATAATATTCATTAATCTCTTTCATGAAACATAACGTAAGATCTATAGTGATTTCAGATTGGAAAAGTAAGAGAAGAATTAGAAACCAAACAACCATCGTCCCACTTTTAATTCATAATTGGTCCCGGCTCCCACTGTAATAAGTCCAATAAAAAGACATAGGGGGAAAGCTTGTCTTTAACATCTCTTTCCCCTTGAGGTAGGTGAATAAATGCCAACCTCATCGTTAAGCTTCTTTAGATTCTTACATTAATAAGCATTGCTATAATATGACTTCTGCTGACTATCCCTTTTATACGAAAAGAATAATATGTTAATCCCGCTCTAGATATCTAATTCAAACAGCACCAAGCTCATACCGTCCACAAAGCAAGCAAGAAAAATATGCTGTGGATCACAAGAAATTTTCATTTAAAGTACTTGAACCAAGACATCAATGAGAATACCAGCCAGCAACTTACCCCCATTTAACCGTGCTTTTGACAACCTGACTATCCAGTTGGAAGACCACATATGGATCACTTGTTCCCTGAAAGGACACAAAGGTCAAAATAGCAGGCAAATAATTAAACTAAACTGAATGGTTTTGAGTCTTGATAAATGAAATAGAAATTTCTTTAAAACTTTTAATCTAGGCAATGAGGACAATAGAATTCTACAACTACCAATGGAACACAAATAGAAATTCAACTATAGGAAAGATAATCTACCCATGGATCCATGGCAGGCAAATTAAGACCTTTCTTCAGCTTTATGAACAACTGGCCATCATAGATCTCACACAGAAATGACCTGTAGATGTGAAATCAGAAATGAAAACTGAAGTTTAAATGAAGATACATCCCAATCACATGGAAATATTTTCTTTTAGAATGCCTTGCTAATTTGTGTACATACAGTGACAAATACAAGTTTATAAACTCCGTGGGCTTTAAGAGTTCTCCAGGAAGATTCTTACACAACAAATGCTTCATATTAGGGCGTGATAGGGGTATTCTATTTCTAGAAAACCTGAAAATTACTAATTCAACTCACCTAAGGGAATGTGTAAAATCAACCAGTTTACTAATTAGCTTTATTTTAGACATACTTGTTCATCAACTTACCACAAAGTTGGATCTGCAATCAAGTGGTTAGTGATCGGTCAGTACTTATCAGTATTCACACTACCCCAATATGTGTAATCAGCAAAAATAAACCCAATGTGTAATCAGCAATTCCAAGGAAGGTTGTATATTCCACAGAAAAATTGCTTTTGAGAAAATGAACTTGTTCAAGAATGACCCAATACATCAAGACTATGGGTTGCATGATTTCATGTGCATTAGAAGATATAAACCAAGTGATGGAATAATTCATTCATTTCTTGGAATTTAAATTTATAGCAGCAATTCCACAGTTTTTTAACTGATAAAAGGTGGATTAATTGCTTTAATATAAACTGAATGTGTAATCAGCAAAAACAACCCAATGTGCAAATTAGATGTACAACTTGTAGTAAAACAATGGCAACATATACATACTTTTGACCTTCAAACAGATCCTATATTTTAGTTGCCTTTCGCTCTCTCCGGTTATTATAGATGTCGACGCGGAGTTTGTTTTGGTGCTATTATTAACACTTGATACAGTCCACCCTCTGGAAGATTTGTGGGGCAACTGAATCTTAAGTAATACTGGGAACCATATCATGACTGTTGTCACTTAATGGCAATTTTACTAGGTGAATCAAATTTTGGTTATTTTACTAGGATATTTTATTCAAATTTGTGTACTTAATTTCAATCACTGGAAACAGAGTTTCAAACTGTTGCTGACATCTGCCATTTTTTAACAAAGAAGTACAGAAATGTAATATACAAAAAAAACTAATAACTATTGTTGCCAAAAAAATCATTTTTATCGAATTTATTATTCTGTAGAGGCATTACTCATGAAAATATCAACATACTGCGAAAGAAACACTGTCTTGCAATTCGCTGCATCGACCTCACGCTTTCCTATGATTTTCTGATCAGAATGAAACCAAATAAAAGTCAGAATAATACAAAATGGAATAGAACACTCGAATTCACTCTCCTCTTTGGCTGCCAAGAAAATGCAGGAAATTTGAAAAATCAAAATTGTGAAGTTAATAAGCTTTTACTTTATTCTGGATACAATAACAGAAACCAAGAGTCATACAATTTTGATTGCCGACAGAATGTTGAAAAGTAAAGAAGTTTTGCATCTGGGTCTTCGAATTTTCACAAATTTTTTTTTTTTTAAAAACACAGAATTTTCAACTAGAAATCCGCATATATAATGATGGAGTTGCAGGAATTTTCTAGAATTTCAGGCAAACAACAATTCTGTCCATCACAATTAACAAAAATATCACAGCCACATCATTCTCTCACCCTAAATTTTAGTGGGGGGAAAAAAATTCAAGTATCATGCTTGTAAAAAATCTTCCAAATATACTCCTTTTCCTTTTCTTTTTCTTTCCCTCCATTTTCTAGGCAACCAAACAAACAGATAAAATCTGAAAAAATAAAAATCGAAGAAATTAATTTACTGGTGGGGTTGTGTAGGCTTCAAAAGCGAAACCCGCAAGAATGACGGCGAGATTGATGTCGAAAGGAGGCCTCTCGGTCTTCTCCTGAACCTGAATTGAAACATTCTCAACCTCCGAGTTCCTCTTGCAGAAGCAGCAGACAGAGCACAATCCATCTTTGCCTCCAAAACTTGAACTCAATACCCTAGTTTTCCCGGAAAATAAAAGATTCCGGGAAAGTGGAATCGAATTGGGGTTCGGAAGATAGGGAATTTTGGAGGCAGAGCTAGAACAGCGACAGAATTGAAGATAATTTGGGTGAGTTTGCAGAGAGGCCATGGATGAGAGTGAGTGAGAGAGTAGAGTGGCAGATTGCGTAAATATAGGGGGAAGATAAGGGAGTTTTATGAATGGTGGTTTGGTCTTATCGTATCGTGTGCGGACACGTAAGTGAAAGACGAAACTCCGAGAAAACCGTCGAACTGCCGAGTGTTTAACGGTCTGAAATTAGGGTTTTTTTTTGTTTTTTTTTTAAGTAATGCTAGATATTCAAAAATTCTATTAAAATTTATACCAAATGTGTTATATGAGTGTGTGATCCACACAATGTGAGTTCTATGTGGTCCCATAATCCTGTGAGACATTTAATAGAATTTTTAATAAAATTTTTGAAATCTTTAACATTTTTATTTTTTATTTTTTTAATATTTGCATATTTTCACTACATTTGTTCTTTTTGTTTTTGGGGTTTTTTTTCTTTTTATTTCGGGTGGATTATACTAATAGTCCCTATAGTTTGAGATTTGTTTCATTTTGGTTCCTGATTTTTCAATTGTGACATATTTGCCCTTGAATTTTGAATCTTATTTCAAGTAAGGACAATTGAAGATATCATTAGATTTTTCAAGGGTAAAATAGTCAATTTGATAAAATATAAATCAATTTGACAAAAATAAATGTCAAACAAATATTTTTGAATTTTTAAAAATTATTACTACCAATTAAAAATAAAATTATGTAAAATTGATAAATCTTTTAGACATTTATTTATTTTTTTTACCAAATTAATTTTTATATGTGTTTAGATAATGATCATGTACATTTAATTTTAAAAAATTAATCATGTTATTTTAGAGTACAGAAGTAACTTTGCCCATTTTAGCTCTTTTTTTTTTTTCCTCGGGTTTTAATAACTAGCAAAAATGATATCAATTAGTGGAAATCAATAAAAATAAATGTAAAAATATAAAAGTGAAAATGATTTTTGCATTCTTGTGCAAGTAAATATTATCTTGTGCAAGTAAATATTGTAATACTACTAATAGACTAGGTGAGCTCACTTGCGCCTCTATTTTTTCTATAATTATTTCTATTTATTTTCACTTATTATTATTTAATACTTATCATGAATTGCTTATTTTTTTAATTATTTATACTCATTATATCATAGTTTAATTCGGATGAACTTTTGATGGTTAAAAATATAATTTATCCTTTTGTTTATTAGTTGATGTGCAATAATCATAACGGTTGAATATTAGTAACTCAAGTTAAATTTATTGTATTAATAGTTGTAAATGTGTCATATCAAATGATATATAAAATGTGATAATAAAAGATAATAAATATGATATTATTCAAGATATAAGAGAAACACATATAGTTGAATTGCACTACATTTGCATTATTATGTAGCATTTTTATTACACATTTTAAGTGCTCTCTCTCCATGTGGAACCAAATCAATGAGCAATTTCCACTATCTACCACTTAGGTAGAAGGAAATCCAACCTCTAAAAATCCTAAAAACCAAATCTAAGATTCTTCATCATTGCTGAATTTACAGCTTTTATTACATCTGAGATGAGAGTTTTTCTTGAAAGAAAATCTCAAATCATTAAACAAAACCTAAAAATAAATAAATAACTACTATAACACCTTAAGTCCCACACATGTTGATAGAGAGACAGAGAGATGGACTTTCTTTTTCACTTCTTTTCATTCATTCCAAGTGTGTTCTTCACACCATCGATAGCACCCTGAGTCATGGTGGCTACTTTCTCACCAGTCTGCAAAAAACATACAACTTGTGTTGTAAAGCTTATAATCAAAGCATAATCAATATAACATAGACTCAAACATATGAACACAATATTGCCAAAAAAGGGATGATGAAGTTAGTGTTGTTGGTCCATTGTGATGTGAATGAGCCTAAAAACATTTCTAATTGAATTGTCAAATTCCACATAGTACTTCAAACAGTGATAATTGAAGTGCAAAAGCACTTAAAATTGAATTGTCAAAATCTAACTTGGCATCAAGTTTGGTATATATGTCAAAATTTATTAATTTTTTCATTAGGTAAATCCCTTTTTTTAAAAATATATATGTTAGGCGAGTGTCAAATCTAATAAAATATTAACCTAGCTTTTTGAGTGGTACTCCTATTTTTAAATATGCTAAATTGTCACATAAGTCTTCAAATGAATTTTATTTATTAATTTTTTTTTTTATAGGGCCTTCGAATAAATTTAAAGATTTGACTAGAAAGATTGGAGTTAACGTGCTAGGTACAGAGTTGCAGATAAGCTGGAAAACAGGGACGTAATGAATATGTAGTAATCTTAGAGGAGCCACCAGAAGATGTTAGAGCTTTAGTCATTGATGATATGATTGGAGTTGCCATTGTGAGGGACTAATCCTCTAGTAATTGTAATATTATTTTGAATTGTTGTATGGTACAGACCTGCTGGAGGAATCCGGCAGTCTCCTCCTTCCCTTGTTGGGCCGACTCTTTGGAGTCTGCCATCTTGTCACAAGCCTTGTTTGCTGCACCTTGGGCCGATTGTACCCACTCCTCAGTCTTGGCCTGCCCACAATACATATAAATTTATATTCTATAATAATTTCAATATCCTAAGGATAAAACTGTCCTAATAGAATGTAAAATACACTAAATGTTGAACATTACAGTCAAGAATCCTCTATTTCAAAAAAAAAATAAAATTAACCCTCTATCGTAAATCATTTATAACTATTGAATTATATGAGAATTTCAATTTGTGACAATCTGAAATGATTGTACATGATTTCGGATTAAAAATATATATAAAGATTTTGAGATAAATTATTACCTGAGCCTGACCATGGGTTTGGCCTGCATTCCACTGGGCACTTGACATCTTTTCTTGTAAAATAACAAATGGGACTCTAAAACTGTATATTGGTTATAGTATCAACTAGTTTTGCGAAAAAAATTGACCCTGAGTGAATGCTTTATGAGCTTGTGAACATGTTGTATATAAAGAGTTCAAGAATAGAGGAGAGTGAAAAGTGGAGTTCTGTGGATGATTGAGGCGTATATAGCTGCTTTAGACCAGGGGAGGGGGTGGTTGTGGTTATGGCCTTTTTGCGAAGGTTACGTCTCTCCATCCAATATTTTAAATAATAACTTTACTAGAAACACAATTTCTTATAAAATAATTAAATTCATATTTACGTGGGAAAAAATATTTATTGACAAAAATAAAACTAAAAAAATATTTTAAAATTTAAAAAAAAAAATTTGTCCCCATAAAAAATATGAAAATAATGATTTTTTTTTTCTATTTTTTCACCAAAATAGTTTTGAAATTTATTTTAGAAAATAAATTTTAAAAACTCAACCTACGAAAGGTTAAAAAGATAAATGATTTTAAAATTTAATATTTTGTTCAATACACATAAAAAATACTCCTATTTTTTTTAACCTTCAAATCCTAATTCTAAACTTAGCCACCATCCACCACCATTCTCCCTTCCACCCGCCGCCTCCTCTCTCTACTGTCTCCTTCCTCCTCTCCCCTTCCCCATGTCTTCACTCTTCTAGGCGACAACCAAATCACCATCATAATGTTGTTGGTTTGATGATTGATATGTGAGCAAACACTCTATTGGTTCATTGCTTAATTATTTAAATCCATATATACTTACTAAACAAAATCTCCACACTAACCTAACACAAAATCTCCTCACTAACCTACACAAATGGAAGCAAAGAAAGGATGCTTGGACACCGAAGGACAAAATGTAAAGTAAAAGAGAGCTTTCTCAAAAGGGCTTCTATTTGCACTTCATTTTTATTTATTTTTTTCAATTCACATTATTTTCTTATTCGATATTTATTTTCAAATAAAATTTAATTATTCAAATATCAACTTCATAACAATTTTGTTTAGAGGTCAATATTCGCATGATAAAATGGTATGATCTGAAAATTTTTGTGATGTGCAAATTGTTGGAACAATCTTCTATGTAAATAAAATAAATTGAAATAAATTCAAACAAAATAAATAAATAACATACCGGATTTATTTATCGAACCGAATTAAAATTAAGACCAAGTCGAGTGTGTGACACTCTGTCCTTAAGACAGATTCGTCCCGCTACGGTGCTTACAGTTGAGTAGCGTCTATCTCCCAAGATACAATGATCTTCACAAATTGTAGTAGCACTCCAAACAATTTGATCGGTGAATCAAACCTGTGTTCTAACTCTCTGAATTTATTCTAACTCTAATAGGAAGAATAATGCAAATGTTATAAATTATGGACAGCAAATGCAAAATAAACAGACTGAATTTTCGGATGTCTCTTACTTTACAAAATTGCTGGAATATAATCTATATATAGGCAACAAAGAGACAGATTGAATAGTCCGAATCGGTACAAACAATGGTCAACAGGTGCCACATGTTTTGAATTCAACTGATTCGAATTTATTCAAAAAAGAATCCGTTGGAGACAAAGTCAAAGCAACTATAGGGAAATAATGTAATAAACTATTTGAATAGATAAAACAATTTTTCAAATTGTTTACCGTTGGTGGAACTGTCCCAACTTGTTACAACTTTAATATATAAACTATTTTGAATATATATATATATATCTCAAACTATTGAATATATATATATTAAACAAATTGAATAGTTTAATAAATAAAGTAAGAGGTACAAATTTTAGGAAACCACTTAGGAACCCAAAATTTAGAATTTAAAATAAATTCTCACAATAATTTTTTATTAAAAAATTCAAATGAATTTTATCTAAAAAATTAATGTTAAACCCGAAAACGATGTCAACTTCTCATTCACTCAAAAATGGTTTTTGACGTTCCGTCTTCACCGTGTGACTTGCCACGCGGCAAGGAACACGTCACCTCTTCGGATCTACCCCAAACGTAGTTTGGGCCCACTCAAATTAGGGCTCAAAAATATATATTAAACCATTTTTCCAACAATCCCCCACATGAATGGAATTTGACGGAGAGAAAATGCAACAACATGATCTAATTACAAAGAGTACTTTTTTCAAAATTGCTGGAATATAATCTATATATAGGCAACAAAGAGACAGATTGAATAGTCCGAATCGGTACAAACAATGGTCAACAGGTGCCACATGTTTTGAATTCAACTGATTCGAATTTATTCAAAAAAGAATCCGTTGGAGACAAAGTCAAAGCAACTATAGGGAAATAATGTAATAAACTATTTGAATAGATAAAACAATTTTTCAAATTGTTTACCGTTGGTGGAACTGTCCCAACTTGTTACAACTTTAATATATAAACTATTTTGAATATATATATATATATATATATCTCAAACTATTGAATATATATATATTAAACAAATTGAATAGTTTAATAAATAAAGTAAGAGGTACAAATTTTAGGAAACCACTTAGGAACCCAAAATTTAGAATTTAAAATAAATTCTCACAATAATTTTTTATTAAAAAATTCAAATGAATTTTATCTAAAAAATTAATGTTAAACCCAAAAACGACGTCAACTTCTCATTCACTCAAAAATGGTTTTTGACGTTCCGTCTTCACCGTGTGACTTGCCACGCGGTAAGGAACACGTCACCTCTTCGGACCTACCCCAAACATAGTTTGGGCCCACTCAAATTAGGACTCAAAAATATGCCTATATTAAACTATTTTGACACCTTTCTCTAGGATAATCTGGTTGTGTATATCTTCTAGTGGAAGAATGTCATAATGCAAGCTGCATGAATAAAGTTGCTTCATTTTAAACTAAGTGTCGCAAAAACTTCTCCACAACCAAAAATAAAATCTCATATATTTGATCATTCCCCAACAGTTTTTTCTATGATACATGAAGATTGTTTTCATGTACCATACATAAATAAATTTGGACCATTAGATCTAAAAGTAAAATAAATCTAACCATTGATTGGTAATAATTAAAATCAGGTTAAGAAATCTAGGTAATTTCATAAAAAAACAAGGTAGTTTTCAATGGTTTTAAAACCAAAAAGTGGTTTTCAACTTACCACAATAACTAAGTACACTTACTATTTGATATGATTACACTTACTATTTTTAATAATTATACTTACCATTCAATTATTAATAAAATACACTTAACCTGCTATTCAGGTAACAGGTAAACTTAAAAAATTAAGTTATAATAAATTTTCAAAACCTCTAAAATAAATATAAAATTTATAAAATAGAATTTAAGAAAAAAATATACAAAATAAATGTGAATTTTATACATTTTATTATAATCTATTACATTTTATGAAATATGATTTTTTTATTTATTTATGTACTTAATGGCAATAAATGAAATCTAGTTTTCTTTTCATTTACCACACTTGAAAATAATAAGTGCAATTAATGAAGAAATATAATTATTAAAATATAGGAAAATTTAAAATTTATTTCAGGATTTCATGAACAAAATTTTTATGTTTATTTTTAAAAATTTTGAATATTTGAAGATAAGATTGTTGTTGATGTGGAACTCCTTAGGTAAGAATCTATGTCTCTATAGTCTCTATCTCTATTTTTTAGTTTAACTTTCTATGATATCTTGAATTTATAAATTTTAATGTTTTGTTGGAACAACAATTTCACCTAGTTAAAAGAAAAATTATGAGATTTAAGTGGTAAGAAAAAAAAAAGTTTGATGAAATAGTAAATGCAGTCTTAAGTTTAGTTTAAATGATTGATTAATCAAATCTACTCAAATAATAAGTAGAGTCTCATTGAGTAGTAAGTATTGTCTAAGTGATGAGTCAAGTTTGATAAAGTAGTAAGTCGAGTCTCATTGAGTAGTAAGTGTTATTTAAATGAGTGGTAAGTCAAGTATGATAAAGCAACAAATAGAGTCACATTGAGTAGTAAGTGTGGTTTAAATAAGTGGTAAGTAAGTCTGATAAAATAGTAAGTACGATTTAAATGAGTGGTTTCCAACTTACTACAACAACTAAACACACTTACTACTTGATATAGTTGTACTTTACTATTCCACATAACTACACTTACCATTCAAACATTAATAAAATGCACTTAACCTTTAAAATAAATATAATTCAAACATTAATAAAATGCACCTAACCTCTAAAATAAATATAAAATTTATAAAATAGAATGTAAACAAAAAAAAAATGTACAAAATAAATATGAAATTTATAAATTTTATAATAATTTTTTACATTTTATGGAATATGATTTTTTTTATTTATCTACTTAATGGCAATGAATGGCAATAAATGAAACCTAGTATCTTTTTCATCTACCACAATAAATGCAATTAATGAGAAATATAATTAACAAAATATAGGAAAATTTCAAATTGATTTGAGGATTCCATTCCTTCTCATTCTACTTCCAACTCTTTGTGACTCAACTGACCACTTACCATCCATTTTACCACCTAGTAAGTAGAGTCTCATTAAGTAGTAAGTGTGATTCAAATGAGTGGTAAGTCAAGTCTGATAAAGTAATAAGTACAATCTTATTGAACAGTAAGTGTAGTTTACATAAGTTTAAAATCCACAGTGAAATGATTTTTTTTTTCTTCTTCACAAATTCATATGATTGGTGTAACGCCCTCAAAATAATAACCTTAACCCATCAATATAAACATGCATTTATATATATAAGATCCACATTCTTCAATTCATCAGAGTATTTCTTTACAAAAGTATTACATGTTAACAACAAAAACAAATGTCCTACGGGCTTACGGCTTTCCAAGTTAACACTTGGTTACAAAAAAGAGTACTAACTCAATTTCACATTAAGCCCTTGGCTTGGATTTACATGTAATACATCAAAAGGAAATAAGACAACAAAAGTCTGTCCGCCTCTAGCCTCCCAAGCTATGTCCTTGGAGGTGGCATACTACCTGTACCTGAAAATAATGTCCCATAAAGGGTGAGCCAATGCCCAGTAGAGATATGCTAAACACAGTAT